AATTCTAGAATATAAAAAAATGACACCATGCCGAGCTTATTTCGACGAAATAGCGGAAGTTTATATTAGACTTTCTGACCGCCATTTAAAAAAATAAGTATTACACGCAAGGAACAAAAATGCGTTTGATTCGGAAGGATTTCATTTTGATTTGGTAATTTTAATTTATTTATAAGAAGGAAAACTAGGAATTTTGAAAATACGGAATGTTTTGAAAGGCTGTCTTACACTCACAGGGTTGTGTACTAATCTTTCGGTCTGGAGACTGCCATTGCTTTCACATAATGTACTACAGTTATTGCTCGTAGGATGCTTGAATATGCACAAATGTCATCATAAGTAGTTTTGCATGAGGAAGTTAGTGTAATTTTCAGACTGTTCAAATGAAACAAAAAATACAGACGATATTTGTTGAGTGGTACATTGAATGAATTGACAAATTATTTTTCAATTTCAGCTTTGATTTTTGCTCTAAACGGTCATGAAACTGTCGGAATTGTAAGCTTAAAAAACGTGAGGAACTACATGGGGAAACGCTTTCGAATGTGGTAATTTTCATTGACAAATGTGAAATTATATTTTGATAAATTTCACTGCAAAATTATCCACTTTAAATTCAGAAAAAAGTCAGTTACCCACTCAAAAGCATACAATAAGCATAATTTCTAACAAAACAATAAGTTATAAAAAAAGAAGCAAAACATTTCACTAGTGTCAAATAAGATAAAACACTAAAATATGTTTAAATCATACACAGTGATACAAACTGTGTGCAAATAAAAGCAGTTAATTGTTCAATATAGATTAGGTATTAACAATTCAACCGACAAAGCTGGCATTTGAGTTGTGTATCATCTAAAGGTTTATATGAGGTACAAGTGATTCACTAGTGCGAGCATATGAACAACTAAGTAGGATAAATGCCATGATGACCACTATATTTAATATGAAAACACTGTTGATTTTTATTTAACATACACGTGTATTTGAAATATCAATATCTGATCAAATATCACAGAGGTACAAATATGATATAACGTTTCAATAGATAACAATAGTCTGTCTGCGTTCTCAATCGTTTAACATAAAATAAACAGATTAACCAGATTGAGGAACGTTCACATGAGCCTTAAACGTCTCCACTCACGCCCTAATCTCCCCCAAAAAGATCACATTATTAAATTCTGTGTTTTAGTTTGATTTTATATATTATGTTTTGCTCGGTGTATGTTTTAAAAAAATACAGAAAACATCACGGTACATACAACTTTTGCAACATGTAAATTCATACTAACTTCTTGCAACAATGTCAATAATAGAAAGGGGGCAAAAAATGAATAGTTTAACTTTAAAGCAATTTTTGATTTTTCCCATGAAATTCATTTAGTTCAAATTACTAAGCTTTTTTTAATTTCCTTTTCCTTTATTATGCAAAAATAAAACTTTTAAAATAAAACAATTTATTTAACAAAACATTTTATATAAACAGTTTGTGTTATTGACACTTTTGTCGTAAAAAAGAACTGGTCAATGTTAGAAAAATTGACATCAAACGGTCACGGACACGAGTTTCACGCACTGTCAATCTAACCATTCCCAGGACATTTACAGATATCTGCTTCCATGCTTACATGTTTGATAAGGAATATAAGTTTATTTTGAAACGAACTCCAATTTACAAAAAGCCAAATAATTCATGCTAAACAAAAATATTATCTAGATACATAAACACAAGGCACAAACTAGAGTTAAAGATAAGATAAACATGCTGTTCTAACTTTTATTATCAAAAATTTTAAGTACAAAGCAGCACTAGCCTCAAAAAATTCATGCTAAACAAAAATATAATATAGATACATAAACACAAGGCACAAACTAGAGTTAAAGATAAACATGCTGTTCTAACTTTTATTATCAAAAATATTAAGTACAAAGCAGCACTAGCCTCAAAAAAACTTTTGACAAAGAGACATATAATTTAACATAAAATGCATAAATATATAACGACATTAGCAGTTTTTACATAATAGATATTTCAAGCGTGTCAAGATAAAAGTGTAAAAGATCTACAAAGATCATAATACAATTAAAGAACATAATACAAAAATGTAAATTATAAATAATGTGTATGAAAAGAAAGTGAAATCGTGTAGCAAATATGATAATCGTTTATTTTCAACATATTTGGTCGTCTTTAAAAATAATCAGATTTATACCTTATCGTATGAGATGATACATGGCACATTCAAAAACAAAATGAAATTATTTTTCTATCACATTGAAGTTATTACATATTGTTTCATTCAGAGGAGTACATGTGGTTTTCGTCTACATATGAGCATACTTGTTTGGTTGTAATATGTTTCACCATTTTGTCCACCCTTTGCGTATAATCGAAAGGTGTCCCAATTTCCAAAAAGTTAAATTTACGGACCGTCATTTAAAAATGACAGCACATTTTCCTGCAATTTGTGTAATGATGTCAATTTGGTAATACGAGTTAATGTATTTTGGTGTTAGGCGGCTGCACAAAAGGTTGTTCAGTTGTAAAAAAAATGATTTGTTGTAATTGCACTTCAGTAAAAGCAAAAATGGTGGGTTACTAAAACCAACATCGGATAAAAAATATCAAAAGTTATTTGAACGACAGTTCTTAAACAAGGTATCTATGAATTGTTTTAAGGTAAGAAGCAAACACCTTTGCATACTGTAAGGTAAGTGTCTGTTTAAATGTTTTATGTAAAATGTAGGTCGTGTTCCCATGGAAATAACACTTCAAAGTATCAAGATTTAATCTCAATTGACGCAGGAGAATGGAGATGTTGTTGACGTTGATGTTGTTTGATTTTATTTATAGGCATTTTCTTGTATTCGGCAATACTTTTTGGAGTTTCATCTATTGGCTGAGTCGATGCAGATTTAATGACGGCACGGTATAGGAATAACTTTAAATCATAAAAGGTCATTGTCAAAGGTTAATTATTATCTGCGAACATCTGGAAACAGAAAAGCGTTAATAGAAGGAAACTATATTCTCCCTTATTTAAAAACAATTAGCTTCCTTTTTTCTTGTCTAGGGATTCGTTGTTGCAAAGTCTTTTCGTTATCAACTCCAACTCACAGAAGGTGTCCTTAAAGCTCCTATGGTGCTAGATTATACGCTCGTTCCTCAGGTCAAAGTTTCTCCGGATTTTATACGTGTGTTAGCGCAAAATAAACGATGGATATTGCTTATATACAATTCTGTAGCTTAAGTTCATTTGGAAACGAATAGTACTTATTTAATGCTGTGAAACAGCAATGTAAGCTCAGTGATGGGTGTTTTACAAACAAAATGAAAGAATTACTTCTCTCTTATTTGTGATTACCGTTCTGTTTGTGCTAGTGTACTTCTAAGTATCTAGTAAAAATGGTGCACTGAAGCGAGTAATAAAAAGATTCTAAATTTGTTTTTGTTACAAGTACATTTTTGGTGCCTATCGTTTTGTTATTGTACCTCGACAAAGGAAAAGCTTTAACAAATATCACTTATAACGTGTTCTTCAGAAGAAAATGAAAATAAATTACTTCATTAATAACTTAACTTATGTAGACGCAGAGAGAGATGAAGGGATAATTAATTCAGGGATAGCTTCGGAGGGAGACACAAAGAGAGTACCGTGAAAAGTGTGGATATTTCTCTTGGTCTGACTAACTTGCGAGCATGCATGTTTAGAAATCTATCAATCTCTCCTATATTTCAGTTATTTTAAGACTCATTTGTTTTTGTCATTACATCACTGCCTTAATGATTGTACTCGTTCAATCAACTTACTTATATTGCCAGTTCTCTCTTGTAAAAGCTTGATTTTATCAATAAACTGATTAACTTGCTTCTCTAAGCTAGTTATTTTATCTTGTATTTCTAAAAGGGTCGATTTGTTTGCATCGGTTGGAATTGCGTCGTAACCATCTTTATTTAAATCTGTGTTCGTGCTTTGAATGTATTTATTCAAAGTCTCTATCTGCTTTTTCAAATCGCACGCTTTATCAATTTGTGACTTGCAGTCACACTTGTCATTTTCAAATGTTTTAATCTTTTCCTCTAATTTCTCTTTTTTCTTGCCGATTATATCTTCTACAGTCATATCTGTTCCTCCATCGTGAGAGGTGAATTCGTCTTCTCTTTTACAATGCAGTTCTATAACGTTCCAATATACTTCGGTGTCCTTTTGCTCATTCACATACTTGTCTACTGCAATATCTAAAACGGTCTCGTTTGTACTGTCCTGCATATTGTTTGCTTTTTGTTCTATCATCATGTTGACAAGGGGTTCAATAAATTAAAATTTTTTATTTAAAAAGAAAATGCTACAGGTGTTTGCATACTTTACCTTAAAGTAAATTGGCATTTTTAAAATTATCAGAAAATTGTATGAGACTTTTTTCATACCTAAGGGCCACGTGAAAAAATGGCATGTTCTTCCAAAGGCAGTCCATCTGTTTTTGATCATGCTCCAACAACTGTCTTACAACACTTTTTTTGTTTTTAAAGACAGCTGAATAAATAGGAAGATATCCATTATTATCTTTTAAGAAAAGATTTGGAGACATTTTTAGAAGCAATTTGACAATTGAGTCATTACCCTTTTTGCATGCCAGGTGAAGTGCTGTTTCTCCATTATTTATACAACCATAGTTCAACTCATCGTCATCAATAAACTGATTCGACTCTAAAAATTCTATTGCCGATTCGTTGTCTGCTTCCACAAAAAACATCAACGGACTCTTTCCATTTTTTCTATATTTTGACATTTTATTCTTCTCTAAGAGAATTTTCATTATTTCGAAATTAGCCTTTTTAATTGCGCAAAGAATGAGGCTGATATCATCACTTACAGCATTCATCTCAGACATAAGATAACTTACCTTCTCAAAATTGCAGCTTTCTACTGCAACAAGTAGTGACATTTTCAAGTTTGTTTTCAATATGTTTTCCATGTCATCATTTTTGCTCTCACTCATCTCCGAAAAACATAAGGATGCGGTGAATGTGAATTGTTTACTGCATACGTCAGAACTCCAATTTCGCTTTCAAAATCTTGTTTATCAAGTATATCTGTAATACTTAATACGCTTGCAGTGATAGTACCAACATGCTTTGTCAAAAAATATGGTAACATGTTTTGTTTTCTCAATGTTTCAAGAAAGGTTTCGCAAAAAGATCTACATTTAAAAGCAGGATGCAAAATAATTTTACAATTCATATATTGATCATCATTGCTTCCTGTCCGTTGTAAAAATGACATTTGATCAATAATAGTACAAATTTGATCACGCATATTTCGTATCTCGGCATCGGTTTCATTCCCTTTCAAAGGTGATGTCTGACCAAATACAGAACATACATGATCACGCAGGTTTCGTATGTCAGTATCGCTTACTGTCCTATCTGGAAGTAATATTTTGCCAATTACAGAACACAAATCAGCATACCGATTTATTGGGATGGTTACGATCTCATCATTTTTGTTGCCTTCACATGTATCTGATTGTTCTTCAATACGGATATATCTTTCAATGAAAGAGGCATTACAAAACTCTAAAGCTGCTGTCATGTTTCTAACAAAAGCAACAAGTCCTACTGCATCACCTACCACATTGTGTTGAAACCGAAATATTTCAGTTTTATCGTCGAAACAAACAAAATTTTTGTGACTGGCAAATTCATTAGGAATATGTCTTAATGAATAAAAGAGACTGAATCCCAAGTGTTCAATTGGACGTTTAATACTGATAGGTGTTTTTACTGGACTTTGTTCTAGATCAGACAAACGAAGACTTTGTGATGGCTGAGACCAGAGAACGAAAAATGCCAGAAATACAAAGTCATCTTTGTTTTTGAAAATTGTGTCAAGGCATGTCTTTATATGAGTCATCGGTGCTTTAAAAAATGAACTTCCTTTGTGAAAAAGGCTATCTTGGACACCAAATAGCCTAGCACATTCAGGAAATCCAATAATAAATGATGACGGTTCATTTAACTGCCTGACGCAAGAATCAATAAGATTCTTACCAAATTTCCTTCCGTTCAATTCCAAATGATTTTTAATTATTTGTTTTTTCTCATGACATTCAAGTTTTTCTGACGAAATTTCAATCCTATTGCGTTTTTTTATATGGTGTTCAATAAACAATTTCTTTTGTGCATCATCCAAAATATACGTCCGAGATGTGATTATTAATTTCAGTTTTTGTCTTGATACTTCAGACATCAATTGGGGAAATATTTTCAGCCATTTTCTACTTTCACTTTTGTCAAACATAGTACAACCAAACATATCATCAATAAGTACAGTTTCAATATCATCTGTACTTGAATACATTTCCCAATCTGCGACCGAATTAATCTTTAAACATTTTTTCGGATTTTCAACTAGCTTCTTACCCATTGTTGTCTTTCCCTCACCCTGAGCTCCTTCTATTACAATAAATCCATCCTTATTTAGCTTCTGTTTGGCCTGTTCGAACATTGATGTTTCAACAAAGTACTGAGCTTCCAATACGTCAGAGACTTCCTTTTCCGACCGCTCTATTCAAATGAAATTAATTCAAAGCACACTTGTTACATTATATCAAAATCATATTGCATAACAAACAAGTTCTGGTGTTCGGACCCATTTAACTGAAGCAGTTTATAATTTATTAAGCCATGATAAATGGCATATGATTTGTAAATATATAGCTCACATGATGAAGTGTTTACAGAAGCATTTAAGGTAGACCATGGTTAATGCATTACCTCCACTTTGAAGAGTATTCAAATAGGCTAGAATCACTTGTCAACTGCATTGAACTTGAGGGGCTAGGTTAAAACCCAAACAAGAGGGCCATGATGGCCCTGGGGTCGCTCACCTGTACATAGGCCCCAAGGGCGGGGCCAGTTTAAACCAAAGGGCTTTTATTTAAACAAACTTGGAAGCACCTATTACAAGATGTTTCATGATGTTAAGTTTTTACTATACACAAATAATGAAAAACAATAACTTTTGCCCCCCTCCCCCCTCCCCCTGGCAGGGCCAATTTTAACCCAAGGGCTTTTATTTGAACAAACTTGGTAGACACCCATTAGAACATGTTTCATGCTTAATATCTTAGCTCTAGCTCTTTGGGTTCTTTAAAAGAAGATTTTTAAGTTTTTAATTACTATATGCAATATAGGGAAAATCAATGACCCCCTAGGGCGGTGCCAATTTTGACCCAAGGGCTTTTATTTGAACAAACTTGATTAACATCCATTAGAAGATGTGTCATGCTAAATATCTTAGCTCTAGCTCTTTGGGTTCTTTAAAAGAAGATTTTTAAGTTTTTACTACATGTATATAGGGAAAATCAATGACCCCTTGGGCTGGGTCAATTTTGACCCCAGGGCTTTTATTTGAACAAACTTGGTAGACACTCATTAGAAGATGTTTCATGCTAAATATCTTAGCTCTAGCTCTTTGGGTTCTTTAAAAGAAGAGTTTTTAAAGTTTTTACTATATGCATATAGGGAAAATCAAAGACCCCCTTCGGGCGGGGCCAATTTTGACCCCAGGGCTTTTATTTGAACAAACTTGGTAGACACCCATTAGAAGATGTTTAATGCTAAATATCTTAGCTCTAGCTCTTTGGGTTCTTTAAAAGACTTTTTTTAAGTTTTTATTATATGCATATAGGGAAAATCAATGACCTCCTGGGGCGGGGCCAATTTTGACCCCAGGGCTTTTATTTGAACAAACTTGGTATACATCCATTAGAACATGTTTCATGCCAAATATCTAAGCTCTAGCTCTTTGGGTTTTTTAAAAGAATATTTTTTTAAGTTTTTACTATATGCATATAGGAAAAATCAATGACCCCCTGGGGCGGGGCCAATTTTGACCCCAGGGCTTTTATTTGAACAATCTTGGTAGACACTCATTAGAAGATGTTTCATGCTTAATATCTTTGGTCTAGCTCTTTGGGTTCTTTAAAAGAAGATTTTTTTAAAGTTTTTACTATATGCATATAGGGATAATCAATGACCCCCTGGGGCGGGGCCAATTTTGACCCCAGGGCTTTTATTTGAACAATCTTGGTAGACACTCACTAGAAGATGTTTCATGCCAAATATCTAAGCTCTAGCTTTTTGGGTTTTTTAGAAGAAGATGTTTAAAGTTTTTTTCTTTTGGTTGCCATGGCAACCAGAGTTCTGCATGGAATGGAATTCTTTGAACAACTTTGTTAAGGCTTCACACAAGGAACATCCCTGTGAAGTTTCATTATGATCTGCCTTATGGTTTCAGAGGAGATGTCGTTTGAAAAGTGTGAACGGACAACGTACGACGGACGATAGACGACGGACGAAGAGTGATCCTAATAGCTCACCCTGAGCATATGCTCAGGTGAGCTAAAAAAGGCAACTTTTTTTCTTTCCTTTTTTCTTTTTACATTATTTATGTATCTCTCAGATCCCTTATGGAAGAAAAAAGTGTTTGATTTGAATTATATAATTATTGTAGGCATTTATTTGCTAAATAATGCCAAATTTAATAGCAAATATGATACCGTGATCAAACTTTGAAAACAATCCCTCATTGTGGTAAGTTTCAGGGATATTTGGAATATAGCTTTTTATATAGGGAAATGGTCAAATAAGTGTTTAAAAGGGTGGGGTAGGGTAACATTTTTATACATATTCAAAACATTTTGTTTAGAAACAATCATTTTGCTCATATTAAATGTTACCTGAATGTAATTACTTGTTTCTTAACAATGACTAATAGAAAATTATTTTTAATAATAATGATATTATAGGTTATTTAGAGTTTTCTCATTTCTGAAAAAAGGCCCTTCTAATAGCAAAGTCTTAGTTCAGAAATATATCCATAACTCATAAACCACACGGTAAATTTTATTTTAACTTTGCATACAGGTGACCTTTAAGACATATAACTGTCCTATGTTGTCCTTTTTACAGTTCCTTATAGTGCCCATTACCCATGGTCTACCTTACGAATAACATTCATACATGCAGTATTCTTATGCACAAACAGAATTAAACAAATTCAAAAGATAAATAAAATAATCTTACCACGAGCATTGACTGAAATAAGAAATTTAGAATTTGTTTTAATCTTGCATATCAATATATACCTTACTATAAGACGGGGAAGATAAATATATTCGGAACAACATTTGTTGTGGTAATTGTTTTGTTGTATTTGAAAAAGTAACGTCTTGGATGATCCTCTTTTTAAAAGCCTCCTTACATTGTTTTCGGGGGTCTTAAATATTTAAACAGAAAACAATTTTGACAAAAGCTGGTACCACAAAATATCAGCAGCAATCACATGTTTAACGACACATTCTAAATCTTACCTGTGCATGATTTATACGTCACCATAACATTACAGAAATTCGAAAGAGATGCTTTGATAATCATTGATATGTGTAGAGGCATGACTTGGTGGTGAGTGCGTTAGACTAGTAATCTAAGGATCTTTAAATAGCCGCGTGGGTTCAAACCCCGTCAGGGGCAAGTCGTTGTTTTCTTGAGTAAGAAACTTTACACGCATTGCTTAGTACAGGTTTGTTCTTGGTATTGAAACTGCGTATATAAACTTATACCGGTAGCGTCCTACACAATCAAACTAAAATCTAAGCAGTAAAATCACACTCTTATTTAGATTGTGCGCACATAATTAACAAATTTAAACGGTTACTGTTATTTTCCAACTATTACTAGTAGACGTATAATGGTTTGAGTTCCTAAATCTATTGTGGCCTTAACTAAGCCTTAAACGTTGGTCTTGTGGGACAGATTGAATCAATACGAAAAAATCCAAACATGAAAGGCAAAGTTATGGACCGGAAAAAGCGGACATGAAGGACTTTCCTACTTAGTTAACGTTATGCTGTTATTTCTTTGATATTCTTTGAAGTGTGACCATAAGTAGTCTTTCTACACTATATACGCATTTTTTCAATCCATATGTAAGGTTTATACGGAATGAATTCCATAATGTCAGCTTGAGCAAATATATTTTACTGTCAAGAGAGTGCGCTCGGACAGACATACGATCAGATAAACCATATCTAAAAGATATATGCATCAATGAGTAGAGTTATGGGGACTAAAGAATTGAATGTTTATTCCTTAGTTTATGTTTTGAATGATGAAAATATACATTTAAATGCAAATTACAAATGAGTTTCCTATCGATTTCGATCTACTACGAAACGTTGTTGCATTACCTTAATGATTCTTTTGCTTAAATTTTAGAAATTCGGGTATATCGCTACTCTTCTTATGAAAGCAATTAAGCCTTATTTAAAGTCTACTTCCTTTTTCCTTAAGTTTCATATAGAGACACAGAGGAAATTGTCAGAGTTTTTTAAAATCTAATTGGGTAGCAACATAATGTATAAATGTATTGTTTCAACAGTTTTGCATTGTTAATTACACAGCAAACTAGAAAAAAAGCAAAACTTATTCAAAATTTAAATTTGGCGGCTATTTTGAATTTGATATTTGAAAATTTAAACCTAGAAGTGTAGCCATGGTGAAGCGAAAACCGAAATATGTCATACTCAAAATATACACGTTAGCACAACTATCTATTCGGTAAAGCATGTTCCCAAAACGAAATTTTGCTTCGTTCACGTTTGACAAATAAATTAATCATAAATTTGAACAATCACACAACAATAACTAAATATATTTATACATACACACACAACGTCACAAATTACTGATGATACTCAATAAAAGTGTCATAACAAGTACAGAAACAAGACATAATGAAATCACAGCGCCTCCAAACTTATTTTATTCCAAATATAGCAAGGAACATGTAATAGAGTCAAAACCGATTGCAATATCTTCAATAACACTTGTCCCGGCGGTTTTTATAAAGCAAAATTGGCCAAATAAAAAAAAACAACAGAAGCAAACTGGAGAATAAGGAGGAAAACACACTTTATATCGACAAAAAATGCTAGTTAAATACCTGTTATGAGTACGTCTGAAAGTGCAAATACATTATGTTTAACATAATTAAGTAATGAGTGGTTATGATTTTAAATAATTAAGATACAAATTTACCTCTTGCACTATGCTGCTTAATTGTTTCAATCACACGGTTTTCCATATCCTCGTCCAGCTTCTCCCATTGTTCAATAAGATCCTCTAGACTTTTTTTCTCGATTGGTTCTGATTTGAATTTCTCCAACTTATTTGAAAGATCAGCAATGTCGGTTCGTCCAAACCGAACCAATACCTATTACCATGAAAATAATAAATAAGTTTTCTAACCGTCCATTTAAAATAATGTTCAAGGAAAATGTTTTTCTTCATTCAATTTGGATATTCTAGGCGTATTGCACAGTTGCATTTACAATACTAACTATGTTCGTACTCGAAGTCGTCTTCTGCCATAGTCAATATGAATGTGTTATGTCATTACTATGTTTAAATTAATTTTAAATCAGTTCATACACGTGTATATAAATTGTTATTACATTTATTTCGTTTTATATCTCATTTTATTTGATTATATATATATGGTTTGTAATAAATGCATTGCTAAAGATATAATAACAGTTACATTGCGTTCTGTTAGAATGGGTTACAATTGTTGGTTATATGTGAGGTTCTAATAAAGCATTGTGACCTATTGCGTCCGAAACTAAATTATCTCCGATATATCACGGATGTATTATTAGTTTTTTGAGTTGCTGACTGGATATACTCACGAATATAGGGTTTTTATGTCAAAAATGCTTTATTCCTTCGTAAGTCCTGTCAGCAACTTGTGTAACGAATTCATTATAACGCATACTGTTATTTACAACAAGTTCATAAGAAAACCTAGCAATTCTAGAATGTTTTCAAAGAAGTGTGGAAAGAGGAGCACATTGATAAGATGACGTGAGCCGTAACGCTGCGTAAAAAGTTATTAAAGTATAAAGACATCAAAGCGGTGTGACTTTAAACTAACATGTATGAAGTAAAGACATTTAAATCGAGAAATATGGCATAAAGAACAAAACGTAAAAAAAAATATTTTGCACACACGTAAGTAACCGTCTACAATGAAGAAATAAACTATGCGGTCTCCGGTAATTCACGTATATTCAACATCTACAGTGTTTAAGCCAATCGAAATTCGAGCAATTTATTTGCATTATTATAAATATGTATTTTTCAACGAATGATTTTATCATATCCATACACACGCCTACTAAACGGTGGCTCTTTCACATTTTTGTGATCTGTTTAAATGAGAGCCATCGACACTTCCGTTGCAGAGCCATCGATGAAAACAAGGCTGAAAAAGGTAAGAAATTTTTGTAAAAATATCAATTTTAAAAGATCATGCTTGTTTTTCAAAAATCGAAGAATGTCATGCCACGTAGAACATTTTTTTCATCATGTTGGGTGCAGTTTCGATAAGAAATACCCTGAAATGACGTTGCTAGAACTTTTACCAAATATAACATCGTGGGTTTTCTTTTACGAGAATACACACTTTGAGTGATTTCCCTACCGTAAAGTAGATGCTGGCCCATTTAATCGTGCATATAGCATTGTCCCAACCTCCTCTTTGGACCAACACAAAAAATAACTTACAGAACTTAGTTGAAAACCAAATAATCACATTTTTATTATTGTGATCGAGCCATCGACAAGGCAATGTGAGTGAGCCCTCGAAAATGTGATGGAGCCAACACTATCATTCATTTTGTGACAATAAAAAAACAATAAAAAAATGATGGAGTGTAACTGTTATTATACCTATCTGATTAACATATACAATTTCATATGCATCGTATCACCGGGATGACATATTGAAATAAAATACGCGATTTGATTATTCGAATTCATTAAAATTGAAGTAATAAAGGTCACTTGTGTGCACGATTGAAAAATGCAATAGTCCATTCTGCACAAAGAAAGACAGAACGGACCACATACGGAAAACACACAATGTCAATAAGCTGAATAGTGGGAATTGTGAGAAAATTTTGCTTATGAACGCAACTTAAAACGACACCTCCAAAGATGCGGAAAAAGTATAAAGAAGAACCACACATGCAAGTATTGTACCAAACAGTTCTGTAGTGCAGAGGCATGTTTGTCGTATGTGGTCCGTCCTGTCTTTCTTTGTGCAGAATGGACTATTGCATTCTTCAATCGTGCACACAAGTGACCTTTTCCGTGTATGTACACGTTCAACGTGCCTTTTAACCCTTTCTCTCATGAGCACATTGTGAAAATGGCAGTTTTCATTGAAAAGCCTCCTGTTACAAATTCAAACTGTTATGAAACTATGAAAAATGCTTCAATACTAATCAAACTTGGTACAAATATTAACTAGACCATTGCCTTTGTAACAACATGCTCAGTCTTAAATTTCCTGTTACCATGGCAACGAGGGGATATCTCAAAACTGCCAAAAATCACTATTTTGCCTCGATTTTTTTCCATCAAAATTTATTTCAAAGTGCTGCAACTTCTTAAGGGATTGAGATAGAGTCAAAGGCTTTTCAGCGTTGGTTACACGTTACCTTATGATCGACCTGGGGTCATTTTCAGCCTCTTACAAGTCCAAAATTTTCTTGGCGATGAGGGGGACTACCCTCCCCCCTTCAAACCCCCCAAACAGAAGGGGGCACACCCCCCTTCTGGCAACCCCCTGATGTATCTTTTGGATGGGGGCGCCGAAAAAGTGCTCACTTTTTTTAGCAACATTTCTCAAATGAAAACATTTGTATGGGGCCCAAATAGGACATTTTTTCACTTTTTGAGGCCTAAAAGAGGGTGGGGGTCGAAAGTGCGTTGTTTCGCGTATATATGAGGTAAAGGGTTAAGAGAAGATGGTGTTGCGTATCGCCAATCACATATACCGCATAATGTACTGGTCGCCGCCTGCTCATGATAGTTTTTTTATGAAATTTCACCTTGGCCTTATTTGCGTACGTCTTTCCACACTTATCACATTAAAAATCGTTTTGTATCCCCTTATTCATGTCGAGATTCCACCTGAAATTTGAATAAATTTTAAAATTAAAAACTGAAACTTTACCGACTAAAAGTAAAAAAACTATTTTTGTATGCCCAGACTGTTAATATTTTATACAAAGAGGTTTTACTTTAAGAGGTTTACAATTTTAATGAAATCCAATAATCAAATCGCGTATTTTATTTCAATATGTCATCCCGGTGATACCATGCATATGAAATTGTATATGTTAATCAGAAAGGTATAATAACAGTTACACTCCATCATATTATTACAAAATGAATGATAGTGGTGGCTCCATCACATTTTCGAGGGCTCATTCACATTGCCGATGGCGCCAGCAACTTGTCGATGGCTCGATCACAATAATAAAAATGTGATTATTTGATTTTCAACTAAGTTCTGTAATTGGTCCAAAGAGGAGGTTGGGACAATGCTATATGCACGATTAAATGGGCCAGCATCTACTTTACGGTAGGGAAATCACTAAAAATGTGTATTCTCGTAAAAGAAAACCCACGATGTTATATTTGGTAAAAGTTCTAGCAACGTCATTTCAGGGTATTTCTTATCGAAACTGCACCAAACATGATGGGAAAAATGTTCTACGTGGCATGACATTCTTCGATTTTTGAAAAACAAGTATGATCTTTTAAAATTGATATTTTTACTTAAATGTCTTACCTTTTTCAGCCTTGTTTTCATCGATGGCTCTGCAACGGAAGTGTCGAGGGCTCTCATTTAAACAGATCACCAAAATGTGAAAGAGCCACCGTTTAGTAGACGTGATACAATCTTTAACATCTTTATGACTTTTGTGTTTCAAATTTGATACGCTGACCAATCTTAAAACTAAATGGGTAAATAAATTTTAATTTGGTACTGTTTGATATTTACCTTTTCACATTTTCTCCATTGATCGTTAAATGTAGTTTCATTGAGTTCACCATCTTCGTATTGATGCTTTACCTTGGAAAAAATTTGAATATCTTTAATCGTACACATTCAGTATATTGTTTTCCAATCGTTGTTTGTTTATATGAAATCGATTACAGTTTAACTGAAAATTAAATATTGTTTGTGTTTTAACAACATGTATAGAGATTTGTATTTTTGTATCCACATTGCGCTAAAATATATAGTATTATTTATGAGCTGCGTGACCTACTTATTGACACCATGTAACCCAAATTCAAACTTTACCTTGAAATCATCATAAAATCTTTCTAATTAATTATCATGAAATTTGGACTGAAACCATTGCCCTTGCTGTGTTAAGAAGATTTTTCCATATTTGGACTGTGTGACCTAGTTTTTGACCACAAATGAACCATATTCAAACCTGACCTAAAATTAACACGGTTCATCTACTAATTATGACCAATCAAGATCTGAAATATGAAAATTTTGTGATAATTAATTTTCAAGATAATGGTCGGAAGCCAGTCTGACATTTGAGGCCCCTGTGACCTTGACCTCTTAACTAGTGAACCAAAGCATATTAGGGGTCATCCACGTCATATGACCAATCAATATTTGAAATATGAATACTTTGTTATGAATAGCTTTCAAGATAATAAGTGGAAACCATTGTGAAATTTAAGGACCCTGTGACCTTGACCTTTGAACTAGAGATCCCAAAAACAATAGGGATCATCCACTCATATGACCTATCAGTATTTGAAATATGAATACTTTGTTATGAAAAGTTTTCAAAATAATAAGTGGAAACTGGGGCGTCCGTTGCCGAATGGTTAAGGTCGTTGACTTCAAACCACTTGTCCCTCATCGCTGTTGGTTCGAATCCCGTCAGGGACTTGGATTCTTTCATGTGAGGAAGCTAGCTTACGGAACGTTGGTGGTTTTACTCAGGTGCCCGTTCGTGTTTGAAAAAAATGCACGGAGGGGCATCTGAGGTCTTCCTCCACCAGTAAAACTGGCCGTCGCGATATGAGATGTGACGTAAACCCCAATCAAACAGACAAATAAGCGGAAACCATTGGGACATTTAAGGACCCTGTGACCTTGATCTTTGAACTAGTGGTCCCAAAATCAATAGGGATCATCCACTTATATGATCAATCAATATTTGAAATATGAAGACTTTTTGATAATTTTCAAAATAATTGCGGAAACCATTCTAACATTGTAGGCCCCTAAATCAATAAAAGTCAATTACTGGTTATGACCAATCAGTATGTGAAATATGAAGACTTTACTATAAATAGCTTTAAAGATAATAAGCGGTAACTATTCTGACATTTAAGGCCCCTGTGACATTCGCCTTTTACCTAGTGACCCGAAAATCAATAGGTGTAATTTACTGGTTATGACATATGAAATATGAAGACTTTGTGGTAAACACTTTTTAAGATAATCTACGGAAACCATGTGTTCCAATGACAGACAGATTGACCGACCGACCGACCGACCGACTTTAGCAAAACAATATATCCCCTCTTCTTCGAAGGGGGCATAATAAAACAATCTTCATGACTTATTTCCACGATATCTTGATCAAATCAATAGCCTCTCGACAAAGTACATGAATTTCAATATTTAAGGTATGTGAGCCACTTTTTTTACTCTAAGTGATCTTTATCCAAACTTGACATACAGATCATCTAATCACCTTTTCCAGGATATTTGAACTGGAACAAAAGTACCCAGAGTGATAAGAAGGTGTTTCCATACTTGTGTTGTGTGACCGATTTTTTACTTCAGGTGACCAATATACAAAATTGAACTAAAAATAATCAAAACAAACTGACCTATTACCGGGATATTTGGACTTGAGCAGTAGCCCCTAGAATGTTATCATGTTTGTTTTTCATAATTGGGCTATGTGACCTAGTTTTTAACCTGAAGTAACCCATATTCAAAATTTTCCTTGAATCAACATAACAATATTTTGGTCAATTTCCAGGAAATTCGAACTTGAACAGTAAGCCCTAGAAGTTAACAAGGTTTTTTTTCTATATTTTGGCTGTGTTACCTATATTTTGACCCCAAGTAACCCATACAAAAACTTCAACTTAAAATCATCATATCGATCTTTCTCACCAATTTCCAAAATATTTGGACTATCAAAATAGCCGCTTGTGTGTTAACAATGTTTTCTCCATTTTTTGGCTGTGTGACATAGTTTTTGACCCCAAGTGACCCATATTCTAATTTGATCTGGAAATCATCAAAACAACACCTCTGACCTATATCTATGAAATTTGGATAGAAAGCCCCTAGAGTGTTAACAATGTTTTCTCAATGTTCGGAATGTCTGACCTAGATTTTTACCCCATGTGATCCATATTTAAACTGGATAGATATCACCAAAACAGCCCTTTGGATCCGTTTCCATGATATCTGGATCAAAACAGTAGCCTGTAGAGTGTTAACAAGGTTTTAGCATATTTAGGCTGAGTGAAATTTTTACCCGAGTGACCTATATTTGTCGCTGAACTATAGATCATCATAATAACCTTTGTGACCAATTTCCAGAATAACTGGATTGGAACTGTAGCCTCTAGAGTGATAATAATGTTTTTCAATATTTGGGTTGTGCGACCAATTTTCAGGATATTCAACATTTTCCTTGAATCAGCATAACAATATTTTGGCCAGGTGACCCTATTTTCAATTGATGTAGAAATCATAAAAACATTTTTTTCTGACCAATTTCCAGGATATTTGACTTCAACAGTAGTACTCAGAGTGTAAACAAGATTTGACTTTGTTTGGACTGTGTGGCCTAGTTGATCCGTATTCGTATTTTATCTAGAAATCCCCAATCTTTCTGATCATTTCAAGGATATATATTGATCGAAACAGCAGCTACTATAGTGTTTGCAAGTTTATTCATATTTGGGCTGTTTGACCTCCTTTTTTAACCTAAGTGACCCATATTCAAACTTGACATAAAGATCATCTTAACAACATTTCTGAAGAATTTCTAAGATATTTGGACTAAAACAAAAGCGCCTATTGTGTTAACAAGGTCTGTCCTTATATGGTTATATTTGCCTGTGACCTAGTTTCTGACACTATGTGACCTATATTCAAATGTTACTTTGATGTCATGAAAACAACCTTTCTGACAAATTGTCAGGACTTTTGGATCAAAACAGTAGGCGTTACATTGTTTACATTTTTTTTCCATGTTGGGTTGTGTGATTTAGTTTCTGACCCCAGGTTGCCCACATAAGAAATTCATCCAGAATTTATCACAACAATTTTTCTGACAAATATCTAGGATGCATGGACTGAAACAGTAGCCTGTAGAGTGTTAACAAGGCATTTTTCATTATTTCGACTTGGTGACTAGCTTTGGCCCTTAGGTGACCCATTTAAGAGCTTGGCCTAGAAATTACCAAAACAACCAATCTGAACAATTTTCAGGATATCAGGATCAAAACAGAGTAATATCAAGGATTTTACATAATTATTTGGGATGTGGGACCAAATTTTTAACACCAAGTGACCCATAATCGAACTTGACCTAGAGATCATCATAGCAACCTTTCAGACCAATTTCCAGATTATTTGGATTGGAACAGTAGCCCTTAGTGTTTACAACGTTTTTCTATATTTGGACTATGTGACCTAGTTTTTGACCCCAGGTGACCCATTATCATAACAGACCTAGAAATTATGAACAAAATTTTTCTGACCAATTTCCAGGATATTTTAATAAAAACAGCAGCCACAAGATTTTTCTATTTTTTAGCTCCTGTGACCTAGTTTTTAATCTGAAGTGACTCATGTTCAAACTCATTAAAGCAATTTCTTGTATAAAATCCTAACCAAATTTAATGACAATTGAGACAAAAATGTGATAACTAGAGTTTTAACGAACTAAAAGTAAACGGATGATGGACATTCAAAGATCCTAAAAGCTTACCCTAAACCAGCTCAGGTGAGCTAAAAAATTGTTTTAAAAAATTCAATAGGTCTATCTAATCCCGCTTGCTGTTTAATCAAAGTATGAATCCTTTCCATAAATAAACGACAAAGTAAAAAAAAATATCATCAAATTCAATCATTAAACGGTCAAGGTCATTTAAAGGTCAAGAAAATAACTAAAATAGTATACACGTTTGTTTGGTCACAAGTGTTGTTTTGTCCACATATGGATAAAATCCGCATAAATAACAAAATTATGACAACTTAACCAATATTGAATACCTCGGACCTGGCGATCAAGGCCATTTAAAGCTCAATGTCAGTTCAACCTTTTACAATGTCTTGTCTAAACGGTTGTTCTGTCCAAGTATGAAAATAATTCATTAATAAATTACCAAGTTACAGCCAACAATACCCTTAAAAGGTGAAAATAAAATAATTTGACCTTCAAATTCAGGGTCTATTTGTATTTTGCCTTAAAGAGTTTGTATCTTAATATGCAGTGAATAAATGACAATGTTATAGCCAGTTACAGAAAACAAGAGGGCCATAATGGCCCTCATATCCCTCAACCTTATATCGCTCACTTGATTTTGAAGACTCAGTGTCATTTCATGGATATTCGGACTTGAACAGTATCCCCTAGAGTGTTAACAATGTTTTCCACATTTGGGCTGAGTTTCTAATATTTTACCATATGATATGTGACCCATATTGGAACTTGACATTGTAGTCAGGATAACAACCTTTCTGGCTATTGTCAAGGAAAATTGACAATTGAAAAGATAGGAGCCTCTCGAGTGATAACAAGGTTTTTGAATATTGGGGCTGTGTGGCCTAGTATTTTACCCAAAGTGAGCAATATTCGAACTAGACCCAGAGATCACAAAAACTACCTTTGTGATTTATTTCCATGATATTTGGACTGGAACGAAATTCTCGAGAGTGCTTTCAATGTAAGTCCATATTTAGACTGTGTGACACAGCTTTTGACCCAAGCTAATCCATATATTTAAACCTTTCCTTAAAATAATCAGACCAATTTTCAGGAAATTATGACTGAAACAATAGCCCCAAGTGTGTTTACAAAGTATTTCCATATTTCGGCTTTGTGACCCACTTTTTGACCACAAATGACCCATATCGGAATCTGACCCAGAAATCACCAAAACAACATTGCTGACCAAATTCCAGGATGTTTGGATCAACACAATAGTCTCTAGAATTTCTAAAATGGTGTTTGCATATTTGGACTGTGTGACCTAGTTTTCGACCCCATGTGATCCATACTGGTACTCCACTAAGAAATCACAAAAACAAACTTTCTGAATATTTTCAAGGATGACTGAATCAAAACAGTAGCCTGTATAGAGTTTACAAGGTTTTTTCTCGATATTTTGGCTATGTGGCCTTGTTTTTCTACCCAAGTGAGAGAGTTTCACACTTGACCCACAGGCACGAGTATCGGACCTGGGGAGAAAATATTACCACTTTAATAAAAAAAACCTCTGTGTTCATCTTAAATGTGTCAAAAAACAAAACAAAAAATGAGCCCCGTTAAAAATATACTGTAAGTTAAGATAATTAAGAAAAACTTTTATCACTGTTTCACGATTGTATTTAAGCTTCCAAATGATACCGACCCAAAGTCTCTAGCCCTTCCCGTTCATGAAATATCTATCAGCAAACAAGCGCATTTGTGCTAAAACTCCCATGCAGACAAAAACGTGGCACAACAATTCGGTAAGTAAATATAGTCTTATGCATGTTTGTCAGCTGAGAACGGGTCAAAATCACTTGTATTTACTAAATAATATTACTAAATACATTAAATGGGACCACTCACAACCGTTAGTAGCATCTGATACACGTGAAATACGAGTTTCATACCTTTTCACGGTCTTTCGATTGCTTCCTACGGCATTAGGCATCCTTGTGCGAAACGTTGCGGTTTCGTTGCTATTTGCCAATCAGACGATTCCTTACAAAATATCGAACAGCTGATTTACAATGACATAGAAAGCAATCGAAAGACCATGGTTGCTATATAAAAGTGACCACAGTGGCAATTTATATTATTTTTACTATTAAGCAGCCAAAGTGCTTTGTTTTCTGTCATATATTAATTGTAAAAAGTTTAAATTTCCCCATTGGGTATCCAGAAACATCATTAGTCTGGAGACCGCAGGGTATTGGTACGCGTTTAACTTTTGAGGCATGGAGGAGCACGTGACCTGTTTTCGGTACATGGAGGAGCATGTGATCTGTAAACCGTACATGATTGGTTAATTGACCTTTTCGAAAACCTGGCTAAATACCGTTTGCCGGTACGTTACGGATGATGTGTTTGAAAATTATCAATGTTTCTTTAATATGTATCTCAAAATGTTACAAACAATAAATTGTTTATACTGAAAATCTACAAAATTAAAATATTCGTAGTGGCATCTGCCATAATAAATAGAGATATTTTCTGCGAAAACTTGTGTGTTTACTTTATTTATTTTTTTGTGCTCGGAAGTATTCATAAAATGGTAGGCCTATTTAATCATTTTCTTAAAAAGAAATAATTGTTTTATGTCCGACCTTCTCCGGTCATGAACGGTCACCAATTTCCAAAGACCTTCTTCTATATTGATCGATCATTGTCAACTATATTCCTGATACAAACGTTTATTTACCCCCCCCCCCCCCAAACAATGTTGAAAATAGTTTAATGAAATATCTTTATATCATTAAAAATGTCCCCGCAGGAAACCATTTTACTTGTATAATAACATGAGTTGTATGTCCTTATCAGATATTCGGTATTATCCTGTTAAATATGTAATCTATATATAATTAATATGAAATTAGGCAAAACCTATGAACGGGGAAGTCGTTAAAAATTCCTTTCATTTTTTCCGTTTTAAAGGTGACATTCGGTATTTCATGCGCCGCTTCCGTTTTCACTCGAAACACTCGACGGTTATTATTTATCCAAAAAGTTGAGATTTGATCCGTTATCGGAAAACATCGTCTTTTATCATTGAGTACCATTGTAAATGGCGGCGCTTAACTAGAACTGACACTGAAAATGTAACTGATAGGTATAGAATTCTATATATCTTTTAATTGTTTTTTATTTGATTTCCTTTTAAATATACATGTGTAGTCTATAGCCGGGCAAGCAAAAGCCCAGGCTCGCTTCGCGGGCATGACTTTGACTTCCCCGTATTATAATACTAATAACAAATAATAATAATTATATTAAGTAATAATATAGTAATTTCTTAGAAAACTCTCTGGCAATTAAGTGATCAATAAAACAATAACCCTCTGGCAGCGAAAGGGTTAAGTTTGTCATGTTGGAAGTACATCTTTACATTTAATATATTCATTATGTGCTGAATGAAAATACTATACATCAAAGGGCTGCAAGCTCTGTGGTATTTTCTGATCTTTGCAATCTAAATCGTACTGTATATCTGTATGTGTTTTCCTGTATAAGTTTATTTTTATGTACTACAATTCATCTTGCAGGGCACCAGAGTTTGATACATACGGAATTTTGCATAACTAGAGTTGCATCAAAAAATCATTTATGTTCATTTTTTATGATAGCCACACTTTATCCTTGCATATCGTGGCTATTTCCTTAACGAAGACACTAAAAAAAGAATTTTAAAAAATGTTGACACGATCCAGACCTCTCACACACTAAACGAGCGCATTACCCCTGCGCCACGGAGAAGTTTCAAAAACAAAGGCTGAATAAAATCAAGTCAATTCTAAATTGCATTTCGGGTTTTTAAAGCCGCACAGGCTGAATAAAATCAAGTCATTCTAAATTAAAATTTCCATTGCATTTCGGGTTAGGGTAATGTCGAGGGTAAACCTGTTGTTTAAACTTGAAGTAAATAATTTAGCAAAAATCTTCTCGCCCATACAGTCCAACATGTAGAAACTATATATTCAACTACTCGGCAGTCAGATTTATTTGTGTAGTATTCGGTAATCGACATCGCTAAAAATAGCATTTTCATTGATTAAAATCATATTCATCTGCGTAATTTGTGAGTGTGCATTTATTGACAATTCTATAAGCCAACGCTACTTTTAAAGTTTGAATGTGTAGTAATTTGTTGGACACTTGTAACAAAAAATTGTTCTTTTTTTATATTCCTGGTTTTTAAACAGTTTTGAGTGAGAACTACTTTGCGTTGTTAAGTCTGTAAGGAAATTTTGTGTTAGACCGTGAATGTTAGCTATGTATTTACTGATCTGCGATCAGAAAATACAAAAATAGATTGTGTCGGTGAAATTACAAATGTTATCACAAGTAATTAAGAGTTGATGATGTTTTTTTTTTTTCAGAAGTAATCTAGCTTTTCCAACATTGTATAACAAGTCTAAATCCAAGAATTTAAATTTTCATTCATCTCAAGTGCAATGTGATAGTTTTACAGAGATGGTGCTTCAAAATACAGCCTTCACATGGCAGAAACCATATGTATACGTATTATAAATGTTATCCAGTGGAGAGGAAGCTGACGATTTGTTGAAAACTAAAGAAAAATAAAATAAAACAACACTTTTTTAATGTTGTCAATTGAAATATATATATATATATATATATATATATATATATATATATATATATATATAATATATATATATATATATATATATATATTGCACTTTGTGAACTTTATCATGGATAAAAGTTTAAACAAACTAAAGGGGTTGATAACTTGTATTCCATAGGGCATTGCCTCCCATAAAAAAAATCTGATTAAGTAAGTTTAAAAAAACAGTGGTGGTTGCAACCATAATATTTTTCACACGGTACGGTTTTTCAACACATCTGCGGATGTTTCTAAATTCAAAATTTTATTATTTCACGTTTAAATGTTGAATTCTACTTAAGCCGGTGCTAGGGGTGTGGACGGTAACTTGCACTTTCCAGTACCGTCCATGAACAGGCTCAATCAAACCGAGCCTGCACATTTTCAATTGTGTCGTGTTGGGCTTTCTTTAGGGATTCTGTATTTATCTATTATTTTGACAATGTGCATTTAAGTTATTACAAGGTATCCTACATCTGTCTACCACATTTGTCATGTTTCACTGATTAAATTCGTTGAATAATCCATATTGCATGTCTTAATACTCTGCTTGTTTCAATTTGACACATAATTAATCCCATGCAATAACTTCTGGAGTAAAAGTATGTTTACGTTTTTGCTTTTCAACAGAAAGTTATTTAAGACGCAAAAAGCACTCCAGGTGCAAACAGCTGATGACTTTCCATGGTGATGCCAATTGTGGAAAAACATCAAAAAATTAGATGGTTAATCGAACAAAAAGGCGGCCATTTATTTTTTTTAGAAAATAAACTACGAGACCAGATTTAAACAGTTACAAAGTACTGTCACCTATGTAAGAACAACTTTCTTAGTCACGTGGTACACTTGCATTAAAAGTATAAATAACTCCAATTGGCCTATGGGAAATTAACATTACAACAAATTGAGGTAATAAATATGTAATAGAATCCAATAAATTGCTATGGAGATGGCCGAAAATCCGAATGCTTCGGCAAATGTAAATTATCGATTTTAATTATCTTTACATTAGACTGAACTAAAGTTATTTAATTCTTACATCAATTAACATAAAAATGTTAATAAACATACCTCATTTCTTAACTCTCTGATACGCACTATTTCAGCTATGTCTGAAATATCTGTGTCGTTCAGTGTATAACCAGATTTCCATTTTGGGTCACTAGTTCTGTAAAATAAAGTCCTCAGTAGAAAAACTAAGATAGTGATGTCATAGTCATCTGGTGATGATGAGCCGGAGTCTGGATATATTCTTTTATACTGCACCTCACTTATGCAATGTGTTGAGTCCTTTATTTGTGTTATTTTTCTTTTAATGTCCGTATCGTCAATTGTCTTTTGCCTTCTAGTAAATCCTTTCTGTAATTTGTGTCTTAAGACAAGTCCACCTCCTTTTGAAATAAGAAGGAGCAATCTGCACCTCCGAGTGTCGTCGAATGTAATTTCAATGTCAGCGTCCCCCATTTCAATTGTGCATTTCTCCTGCAAAAAAAGTTACATATGAAATGCACATGTGCAATACAACATTATTAATAATCTTGAAATGTAACAACTATCCAAGAATTTTTATATATGTATTCTTTATCTTTGTAATTTATTGCGATTGTAATGTTTTATTTATCTGAGTCATAAAGTTGTGACAGTTTATCAGTTCAATCCTCTGGTTCAATGAAAAATGGAAAGCCTATAACAACAGTAATTTAATGACAAAATAAGCGAACTGCATGATTTATCGACAATTGTTAAGTTGTTATTGTCCTCTTGTTAAAAAAATGAAATCCGTGTTGTGTGAGAACAAAAACATAATATAACATTTTTTGCGGTTTTTGTTATGTTTGGCCTCACATATTCATTCGTGCAAGCTGATGCTGTGTACGGAACATTAGGTTTTACATTTCTTAAACCCATTCAATCTTTCAAATGGATTTGCTCTACAAATACGCAAAGCTTCTTCGAAGGTTCTATTATTTTGGAAAGTAATCAATCAAATACGATTACTTTGAGGAAAATAATTTTATTAATACTTGTTTGTTTTGCATTGTATTTACAAATAGTGCAAGTATCTTAACAGAACGGAATATTCATTCAATAATAGATTGTTTAAAAACCTTAAATCATTCCTTATGAAACACATACTTCTCAAATGTCTTCTCACCTAGTTAGGTGGCCACCAAACGTAAACTTTGTACCCAAGTAATAAAAGCAACTGCACTAAAATGTCTTTTGGAAAGGTTTTGTTTGTGTCAAAATGTCACAGCAAAGGTGTTTTTGTATAAAGCTCGAGTTCCTTTCCAGGATTCAACTTCTGCATGCAACATTAAAATTTGAAATACTCTGGTATACTTGATAACTATAGGAAACTCATATGCCATTTAAAAGACTTAGGGCAAAGACAAAAGGTAACAGCAAGGATTGAACTTGAATATACCATATAGTGATGTTAGAGTTCGTGTCGGGTCATTATTTCTTCAGGCATGTCAGTAGTGGTAGTCTGGCATACAAAGACCAATTGTTTTTGTTTTATATCAACACTTTCGACATATAAGAACTTAACAAATCCATCTAATGTCACATCCATGGATTAGATTTGACAAGACATATGCTTCAAACAAGAAACGACACTTATGCCCCTCCTCTTTAGCTAATAGTTCTGTAGTTATTAAGCGGAAAAAGATTTCACATTCAAAACCACTGTGACCTCAACTTCACGTATCAGTGGCAATACGCAATACACGTCCTTAAGACAGTGGAGGTCTTCACCAAATGATGTTTGAAGGTTCCAAATCAAATGGTTCTTAAGATATTGATTGGAAACAAATAAGTCTTTTCGACCGACTAACGACAGACCAACCGGCATTTGCGAAACAACGTACTCATTTTTCTTTGAAAGGGGGCATAACAAAGATATAAATTTTAAAAAACATTCATTCCACGAGTGGTCATATTAAATAGTAAAGTTATAACCCTAACTCATTTCCCAGCTAAAGGTTTCGTCCTTGTATAGCTAAACGAACCCCCATTTCAAAACACACAAATCTGCTACATCTAAATGATTGTATGAATTAGCCATTTATATTTTCTTCCAAGCAACTGTCAATTTAAAGATACATGTATACTATGCTTATCTTGGAGTAAAATATTTTTATAAATTCTATAATATTCTAACTCAATATGTTTTATTTAAATAAAAGAACGTATAAACTATGTAAAAGAATTTGTAGCCCTCATCAAGTCAAGTTTTTTGTCTATTAAAAATTTTTTTTATTTTTAATCAATTATTGCACTATTGCCTTTGTATCTTAACATTAGACAATTTAACAAAAAAAACTGTTTTTAATGCCACTTTACATTCAAAGTGTGTCCAATGTATTGGTTGGATTTATCCAATTTAAAGCATACCACATATACTTTTTGTGAAGGAATTTAACTTTTTATACTCTTACATAGAAAATATAATAACAAAACCATTTAAAACGAAAAAGGGAGGTACTTGACAAAGTTCATTTTCGAGTTGTCTGCCATTGATTTTGGGTAGTTTACTGTTTTAAGTTATTTCAATGGCAGATAACTTTTATGTAAGTCTGATTGTTTATGATTTTGACATTTATGCTTGGTAACAAAACAGAATTTTATGGAAGTCATTTCCTTTTTGTTTAAGTTTAACTAATGAGACTGAGATTCTTCACATATATACCATTGTTTAAGACAATTGGCAAACATTTAAGTAGATAAATGCGAAACGAATAAAAACAAATTATGCAATAAATATGTATCTAAAAGGAAGTCAGGCCCCTTTAAAGCAGAACAAGAGCCACCGCCCGGCAACGCTCGATTTGTTTTCTACAAGAAAATAAACAAGAGAGCCAAGATGGCTATAGATCGCTCATCTAACCAATCACTTCATTGTAGGGTGGGTCAAGCGATATGAAAAATTTCAGAAGTAGGTCAGCAGAATATCAAAATACAACTCGGCTTCAGAAATTACACCCTTGGTTGAAATTCAAAGTCTGTAAGTCAAAAAGCAAGAAAGTAGGTCAGCTGATATCAATAATATCAAAAGTAGGCCAGTTGATATTAAAATTAAATCTGGCATCAGAAATTACACCCTGGTCCAACATTCATGTATGTACTTCAAAAATCAAGAAACTAGGTCAAACAATATCATTTATTTCAAAAGAAGGCCACTTGATATAAAAATTCAAATCGTTATCAGAAATTATATTTCTGGTCCAAATTCTAAGTCAGTTTCATGGTAATTGAGACAAAAATGTGTCCACTGCAGTGTTTACAATTTTTTTCCATACTTGGGCGGTTTAACCAACCTTTGTTCTCAGGTGACCCATATTTGAGCTTGACTTAGAAATCATCAAAACAAAATTTCGGACCAATATCCAAAATATTTGGATCAAAACAGTAGAGTTCTAACAAGACTTTTCTACTTTTAGCTCCTGAAACCTACTTTTCTACTTTTCATTTTGATGACCCATGTTCGATTACATCTGAGCAATTACCTAGGCAAGCATCCTGACCATGTTTGATAACAATTGAGTCAAAAATGTGACAACTATAGTGTTAACAAGGTATTATCCATATTAAAAAACTTTTTTGTTTTCCAACCAGCTGTCGGAGTTTCTCCAGAATATTTTAGATTGTAGAATTAAATGGTTAAACATATATTATGCTCATCTTTTGAGTAAAATAATTTTATTGCATATGTCTAATATGAAAAAATAAGTACATTTGCACTAAACTATGTATGGAAAGCTGCATTCCCTATTAAAGGTGAAGTATAGTTGGTCCTTTCTTAAAATCTGCCAGTATTTTAAATGACAATTTATATTTGGCCTCATATAGTGTGTGAAGTTTAAACAATAAACAAAACATATCTTATTTGTGATAAGTCGAAACATCTTGATTTTATATTTACATAGAGTCGGTGTAGCAGTTGTTAATATTTTCAAATATCAATTTTTATAGTTTACTGTCATGAACAATATTGGTGAGACAACAACAGGTAACTACTTTTAGAAAACTACATTTCTATCTCATATCTTCACAAGACGGTTTTGTGCTTGTGATTACAATGTATTCAGCTCTCAACACCACTATATTCCATATTATGTGATACTCAAATATTCCAAAATAGCGATTTATCCTACATATTGTAGTATAGGTAGACATACCAAGTTTGATTGTAAATTGCTTAAATCAGTTACAAATTTAGGAGAGCGATGGACAAGTGCATGGTAAGGATGTCTGCCTCTTAACCGGGTTCGAGACCTAAAAGTAAAAAGTTTCTTTCTAATGGTCTGTACATAATAGATGAGTGTGACTTTGGTCCTGTTTAGATTATAGATCGACAATGTTACCTTCAACCGTTTTAGCTGTTTTGGAATTTTCCATTTTTAAATACTTCAATGTTTTATGGTATAATGATCAGCTGCTGATTCTTTTTATGATGGTATATTGAACACAGGTCAAAATAAAGGTCAAAACATGCTGATTTTCTATCTAAATATTTTCAAATATCAATTTTGAGCATAACATAACTCTGTGGTTTACTTTCGTGGACAACCGCAGTTAAATACTTTTAGAAAACGACATTTCCATTACTTTCGACAAATAGTCTTAATAGACATGCCTTTTTATGCTATACTTTTTAAGTTATTACTCAAGCATATTTTAACAAATGAATACATAAGAAAAATATATCTGTAAATGACTAAATACTCGTTTTTTTCCTTTTTGTATTTAATAATTTCACAGGTTAAATAAGTACGTGCAGTCTCATTGGTGAAATAAATAAATAAAACTGTTTAAATAACAATAACAAATCGAGTGTTTTTTGTGTGTTTTTTTTAGTCTAAATTTACTAGTTCTGCTTCAAAATGGGCGCTTCCTCTCGCTGACATTTACAATGCTTTTCATATCCATTCAAATTATGTGTCAAAAACGTAGAAAAACTAAAATCATTATCGGGGTGGGTTTTTTTAATTACTTTCGGTTTCAAATATATAACTTTTGTGTTTGATAATAGAATAATTCCACGAATTTCTCTATTTTGAAATCTTTATTGTCTTCATTTGATCGATTGTAAAATTTAAAAACTGATTTTGTCACCGAATGTATTTAAATTCACTTTAATTTGTAAACATAATCAAAACGTAAACATAACACAAATTGTTGACGTTCCCTTGTCTATAACATGTACCAAGGTCTTCTATGTATTCAAAATGATTTGCCCTTCCTGTCACGCTTTGGTGAAGAAATCAATAATCAGCGAGGGGAACCAGAACTGTTTAAAACCGATGTGAATAAATTGTGTTTTTCATTGGTATCATTGATGTAATGTAAAAGATTTTTGAACATGCGTATCATTACTGTACAGTATTAGATATCTGGTGTCAGATTTTTAGTTATACTTTGGTATTCAATACTGTTATCTATATGTTTATGCACCTTTTTAAAAATGAACTGTAATGTTAAACTTCCAAACAATAAAACAAGGACAAATTTTTAAAATATGTTAACATGTATGCCAATCGTTACTATTGGTACAAATGAACCCAAATTCAGTACCCCTCGATTATTAGCGATATGTATATGTTAAAGACTAAAATGCAGGTCGTTACTTTGAAATTAACAAAATTCAGATCTTGATTTATGTTTGGCAAATTAAATTGAGACTGGTTAATTTTAAAGAGGATTGTCATCAAATTCCTTACATTTTCATAATTACTTAAACTGAAAAAAGGGGAACACACATGTTAAAAAGACTTCCGTGAAATTCTTTACTTTTACATAGGATAAATGTAAAAAAATAAGCAATCAGACTTACGTATAACTTAACTGACCTTGAAATAACTTAAAATAGAAAAATATTCAATTTCAAGGGCAGACATCTCGAAAATGAGCTTGGTCAAGCACCTCCTTTTTTTCGTTTAAAATGGTTTTGTTATTATGTTTTAAGAGTATTAAATTCCATTATACAGTTTTATTCTGTTTACAGTGTTCATTCTGCCTTAGATAAGTCTAAAATAAGGTGTTATACGTACTGAACAGAGCCTCAACCATTTACAGATTTTTGATTTGTTTTCTTTGAGTGTGTGTGTTTTTTGTTGTTGTTTTTATTAAAAGCTATCTACATGATTATGTGTTGAATTGGTTATTTTCCGCATAACTCATTTTGTATGAATAAAAATAATTGCAAAACTTAATTGCATTTTATCATTGAATTTCAAAGTTCAAATTTATTGAAGAAATTTTTAATATACGTGCCAAGGATTCGAACATGCATCTCCACGATTACAAGTTGGCTGTTATTCGGGTAGAAAATATAATTTGTACTTTATCGTACATGGTACACGAAACATTTATAGATCTTTATAATGTAAAAAATTGACGAAAATTCTGCCTGATATTAGCCAATCTCAAATTAAAAATGCCAAACATTAAGCAAGTTCTGATTTGTTAATATTGCATTTAATCCTTCAACAGCCATATAAATAATAATCGAGGGATACTGAATTGGAAATTATTAGTACCATAGTACCGAAAGGCAAGCAAGTAAGTATTTATTCCAAAAGACGAGGTATAACTGCAAATATGCATTTGTCCCCGTTTATTGTTTGAAAGTTTAAAATTACAATTTATTTGGCCGACAAACCTCGTTTATGCTAGGTCATATACAATATTTGTGACACAAATATTTTACATTGTTCTGTTCCAAAATGCTTTGTAAGGTATAAAGGTGCCTAAACAGTCGAATTGATATAGATAATGATATTGAATACCATTATTTAGTATAAATCTACCTATCACCAAATACCTACTTTGATAAAAGCTACGCAAAATATTTGAAATCAAATATGTTTAAACTAACTAAATGACAATGGTGATTTCAAAATAGAGAAATTCGTGGAATCCTTCTGTAATTAAACGTGGAAGTAATAATTTCAAAACCAAAAGTTAACGACTTTATCAATGATTATAGCTTCGATACATATTTTTGATATTTCCGACACATAATGTAAAATATTATAAAATTAAAAATTGCTAATTTCGAAGGAAACGTTCAATATGAAGTAGAACTAGTAAATTTAGAAATTAACATCTAAGTTGTCCACAGTTGTATTAATTTATATAACCAATAATACAAACATGGATACTACTACACCTACTCATTTATACTGTGAAATCAAAAAAGAAAACATACAATACAGAATTAAATCCCGTATTTAGTGATTTAAATAGATATGTTTCCTATGCATACAATTGTTAAAATATGCTTGAGTGATAGCTTTTATAGTATAAAGTATAATAAATGCATGTTTGTCAGAACCATTTGTCGAAATAAATACTTTTAGTTTGACCTTTTTTAGTATACCATCATATAAAAAATCAGCAGCTCATATTTTTACCAATCTATACCATAAATCATTTATGTATTTATATAAAGGAAAAGTTCAAAACAACTAAAATGGTTAAAGGTTACATTGTCACTCTAAAAAAGGACCAACTTCACATTAGATGAATTCTACTCATATCTTATATACAGACCATCAGAGATTTCATTTTTGTAGGTCAACACTTACACACGTAATTGATAATTGGACATTATACACAATATTTCATTTTTTACAATCCTCATGGTAATCAAAACGTTTATTTTTCTGCTTTGAATGTAACCAGCTTCATTTCAAATGCAAAATGTTTTGCATATCAATGGCATAAATATTGAGAATTTTCAGTCTCATTAACATCCATGTTAAAACGATTTGTATCGTTACCAAGATAAAATGAAAATAAAAAATATTAATAACCATTAAAGTAGCAAAATAATCAAATTCAATGGCAGATAATTCGAACATGAACTTTGAGAATTCCCTCCAATATGTTTTTTCTATTTTTTCCCACCATATTCTTAGAGCATGAAAAGGTTAACTTAAATTCCATTATACAGTATTCATTTCTATATGTTTTAAACGAATTTCTTGCTATACAAAGGGCATTTTAATCAGTGGCAACGAAGACGCGTTTTCATAAATTAGTCATACTTTGGAAAAATGATTAATAGAGTCCTTCAAAATATTGACTATGGACCTATACACACTTTTCCAGCTTAAAAATTTATTCTGAAAAAGCTTTTTAACTTACTGTTCTATGGGTATACTGGTAGAGAGCGCTCGTGATGTCACTACGGGTTTCGAACCGGCGATCGTGAAGGCACGATTTGATGTATGGATTAAAAAACGTCACAAGGAAAGAGGTAAAGACTGCTAGTAGCAAAACCTCAAATTGCTACTTCTTTAAATAAGCTTGAACAAGGCTGACCGATGCAAAGGTGCATTACCATGGAGTAATTAGACCCTGCGCACCCAAGACCTTGGGTTCATTGTAATCGGATTAACTACAGCAGTGAGAACATGGTCACGGTTAAATGTTCCAGTGACACTTCACCTCTCAGACACAGCGACACGAGCCACTATTCCATTATTGTCAAAAATAAAGCGTTCATAACTCTTTTAATGCTCCAGCAACAACCGGGCGATTACCGTTTTTACCTACCCACATTTTGATACCGAGAGTATATTACTGGGTCAAAAATATAAAGCCACGTTTTAATCCCTGTGACAATTTCTCTTTGGCGTCTAGGGCCTCAAGGTTATGTATGAGTGAAGGTAAAGGTCTGTCTGGTTATATGTTCAAGTTTGAAGACAACACAATTAAATTAAAAACGTTTTACCAACTAATAGCAAAGATCAGCAGTTAAAATAGAATAAAATTTAGATATTTAACCTTGCAGGTCAAAGTCTTTTATGATTGATCGATAGGACAAATAGTTATCTGTAGTTTCGTCCATGTTTTTGTTATTGATAATATAAATCATTTAAATATTGGATAAATGTTTTAAGAACGAACCTTGTTTTCTAAATTAACTAGTTCTGCTTCAAATTTATTGAATGGACGTTTCCTCTCGCTGACATTTACAATGCTTATCATTCCCATTCTAATAATGTGTAAAACTAAACTTATTATCGGGGTCGTTACGAAAAGCATTCGGTTTGGAATAATTACTTCCGTGTTTAAAAATAGAATACTTTCACGAATTTCTATATTTTGAAATTGGGTACCTGTCTTTATTAGATTGTATGTAAAACTTAAAAGTTATCTTGTCAACAAAATGTAATAATGTTCTCTTTCTTTTTAGATTAATTCAATCGTAAACTTAACGCAAAAATGTTGACGTACCTGATACAAGACACAGTCAACCGGGTATTGTAAATTATTCAATCAATCATTTTCCCTTCCTGTCATGCTAAGGTGAAGTATTTGAGTATTCAGCCAGGGGACCTACAACAATAAGAGTCGATTTTTCTGATTAGTGTAACTTATGTAAATATTTTTGAGCATGGCCAGATTTACACTATGGTATTCTGTATCACTATCTGACAACTGTTAATGGGACTTTTTACAAATGAACTGTAATGTTAAACTTCAAACAATAAAACGAGGATAGATTTTTCAAATATGTTTGCATGTATGCCTGTCGTTACTATTTGTACGCATGTTCCCCAATTCAAAACCTCTCGATTATTAGTAATATTTATAGCTTTAATAGCCGCGAGTGGAGGGACATTAACAAATAAGAACCGTCGTGAATAAATTGCGTTTTTGATTAGTGTAATTTATGTAAATACGTTATGAGCATGCAAATTATTACAATATTAGATATCTGGTGTCAGGTTTTTACGATGGTATGCAATATCATTATCTATTCAACTGTTTATGCAACTTTTTACAATGTTTAAAGTAAACTTCCAAAGATTAAAACGAGGACTGTTTTATTACATTTGTAGTTAAACGTCTGATTTAAAAAAATGTGTTTATATGTATGGCTATATCGTTACTATTAGTACGTATGTTTCCCAATTCAGTACCCCTCGATTATTATCGATATTTCTTGGCATGAATGTTCCAACATTCAGTACCCCTGGTTTATTAGCGATAGCTATGGCTGTTTAAGACTTAACTTTGAAATTAACAAAATTCAAAACTTGATTTATTTGTCATCAAATTCCTTAAATTAGATTTATTTGTCATCAAATTCATTACATTATTAAGGTCAGTAAATGTTGAGTGTACCATGTACGATAATTTACAAACTATAATTTTTACAAGAATCACAGCCGATTTGTAATCGCAAAGATGCAAATTCGAATCCTCGACACTTATATTTAAAATTATTTGAATTAGTTTAAACTTTGAAAATAATTGATTTAATGAGATTAAGTTTTGTAGTTATTCGTATTCAACCAAAATTAATTATAAAATCTTTAAACAAGAACATGTACTTCTTCGACACCGTTTAGCCTGTATGAGGGCTCATTTTAGTAAGTGGCAACAATTCAATTTAATCATGATTTACACGTGAATAATAATAATAATAATAATTTTATTCGGTAAAAGTGTACATGACATGGCAATGACATAATGATGCATAATGATACAATACATATAACAATAATCAAAATATTAAAGAGACTAGAAATATCACATGACATAAGTATACGACAAAATATAAATATATGAGCCATGTAGTGCCCACCAATACCAGGGATAACACAAAAAAGAGGAAAGGATTCCTCTTATTTCCATTGTGGTCCCTGATATTGGAGGCATGACACAGAAAGTCATGTTAATTTGTATGAAATTGAAATTAATTCTTTTACTAATAAGACATAAATTGCAATAATTTAGTTGAGATCACAATATATCACAGCCCAAGTTTGTATCACATTAAAATCACAGTTCAAGTTTGTATCACATCAATAGATCATGAAATAGTGCATCACAGAAATTGTCAGTCAAACTGTAAAAATTTAATAAAAAAATTATAAAACGTTAAATGTGCAAGCTAAAAATGGGTAAATTACTAAAGGACACAACATATGTGTGTTGTGCTTAAACTTAAGAATAAGTAAAATCTGGGACTCTATTAAGACTATTAAAAGATTCAAATACTATTGAAAAATAAACTAAAATTAACTGGCCATTAAATGGGCTTTGATGGCATGCTTGAAGGTGTGGGAAGATTGAATGTCTCTAAGATTTTGAGGAAGGCCGTTCCATAGTGAAATACCATTAAAAGCAAAAGATTTTCTACCAAAGCTTCCAACCTTTGGTAATGAAAATCGTCCTGTGTCACTAAAAGAATAGCTTACACAGGAATCTGATGTTGAAAGTGCAGATACTCTGGATCTGGTACAGCGGTCATGGACCTGATTAAGGGGTACAAAATGCTCCTTAAGATATTTTGGGGCTGTGTCAGACTTTATTTTATGGACATGGCAAAGAGTTATCTGATCAACTCTTTTGGAGACCGGTAACCAGTTAAGAACCTTAAATTGCTCTGGCCCCACATGTGACCTGCTGTCCTTATTCAAAACAAAACGAACCAATTTATTCTGGGTTGTTTGGAGCCTTTTCTTCCAATACTGAGTCAAACTTGGGTACCAAAAAGAACAAACATAATCAAAATGGCATTGAATTAAGGACATGACAAGAGTTTCCTAGTGTGGAGATCCAAGAATTGACTTTTCCTATACAAGTATTTTCAGCCGGGCATTTGCTTTCGTAACCACTGACCGTGCAATTTCTTCACAGGAAAGGTTCTGGTCCAAAGTTGCACCGAGATATTTAACTGAGCTGGTAGCCTGGATATATTTATACCATTACATGAAATATTTAAATTGCCTTTTGACCTTAACCTTGGTTTTGAACCAAACAGAATAGATTCTGTTTTGCCAAGATGAAGTGAAAAGCTTGTTATCGACAAGCCATTCACTAACATACTCCATCTCAAGTGATAAAAGAGATTCAATGTCGGAAGTACTTTTACCACACACAAGAATCCCAGAGTCGTCGGCATACAATAAAAGTTTGTTTCTGACAACAGCCGACGTATCATTAACATAAATTAAAAATAGAAGGGGGCCCAATATTGATCCTTGGGGTACCCCACAAGTGACGGGAGCCTGGCTGGAATAAACACTCGATACCTGAACTAACTGTTGCCTATCTGAAAGATAAGATTGAAACAATCGGACAGCATCAGAACTGAGGCCAATTGCATTCAGTTTCATTAATAAAATACTGAAAGTACATGTATAATATACCGTTGGACAGATTATTGATTTTTCTAACCAACAGTCTATTTTCGCACGATTTGCACGTGCAATAAAATTTGAGCATGGCCATTTAAACAGCATTAGAGATAGCGTGCGTATCATCGTCATTTACGCAAGCAAATAGGATACGCTAGCTTTGTCATTATTTTGGCGTATATTGACGCATAATAATTACAGTTTACGCATTTAGTGAAACAAATTTGGCGTAGGCAATGTTAAAAATTGACACCGATAAAAATTATCGACTGGTTAGCGTACTGTTCTATAAGGGCGTGTTATTTTCTCATGCCGGGTTTATAATTGCAAACCAGTCAACATTGTATCACTGAGACGCTCGGTAATAGATGTATATAAGATAAATCAAGCGTCTGTCACGTTATTGGAGTAGACAAAAAAATATTGTCAAATTTATCAAATTATCAAATCGTTTACATTGACAATGTCTTGCTCAAAACCCAAACAACGAAAAAATCGACACATTCTACCGTGTTACAAGCCCAGTGTCTTCTCAGTGCGTAATTCAGCCAATTATTGAAGAAATTTTGACTATTGTTTGCAAGAGCAAAAAAACTCATCATTAGATGCTACGATCAAATCATGGTGTAAAGGTTTCGTCAGATACGACAGATGTAATGCGTTTGAATGTACCTTGTGTTGTAAGCACAAAATGGGTGGAAAATGGGCCACAGAAGGGGTCATCAACATCCAAACAAACACAGTCTAACATTGAACGGTAAAAAATAAATTAATTGCAACCTTTTATTTTGTACCTAGCTCCTCTTTTTAAAGAAAAAAATACAATGAAACTAAGTTATACTTCACACCTTATTTAATTTCATTTATATGTAAGATAATTTACAGTCCTTTAAATTTAAAATAAAATAGTAATCTCAACATACAATTTGGTAAATAAATGGTTGATTATTAGCCCACACGCTAAAAGAATTCATCGAGGTCACAACTGTTTGCATGTATACATTTACTTCATTTCACATAAAAATGGTTCAAGTTCTTATAATATGCCTTAAACCTAAATATAAATAAAACTTGCCATGCTGCAATATTTCTGATATATTATAAAACTGAGAGCAGTTTCTGATTTTTTTTCAGGCTGTAAATGTATAAATATAATGTATCAAATATTTTTATAGCTTTCATCAAACATAGGTTACACCTTTGCCTAAATCCTTAATTAGTCTTTTATTTTATTTTGACAGGCACTGTACACAGCAGAGAACATCTTGATGCTGAAAAGGTGGAAATAAAAAAATCATCTGGTATCTTTTCCCGATTTCAAGAGTGAAGATGTTTTGGTATTTTTAAAAAAAAGATTTATTTTTTTTCCGAAACCAAATAATTTTTACTTTGAAGAAGGGAAACCCCCCTAAATAGCATTAAAAACTTTTACTAGATTTAAAAAGGATTAATTTTGTTAACCTAGATTATAAAACTTAGGGGGAAAAACCCAGTTTTTAAAATTCAAAATTATTCTTTGGGCAGAGGGGGTTTAAAAAAGGCCCTTGTTGGGAAAAATTAATTCTTCAAATTTTTATCCCAATTTCATTTATAACTTTATTTTAAAAATAAAAGGGAACAAAAGGGGTTATCAATTTTTTTTTTAAATATTTTAAAAAAATTGGGCAACCATCAAAACCCCTTTCTAGAAATTTACAGAAATCATTGTTTGGTGGTGAAATTTACTTTGTGGGGGCAGTGCAATATTTGTTTTTTTAAATCTTTTTAAAATTAGATTTTAAAAAAATGTTTTTTTTCCTTTTGGCTCCCGTTTTGGGGAAAAGGTTATGATGGAAAAGAAGACTGGTGAAAGGCGTCCAAAGGGAAACCAAATTTTCTTCCATAATGCCCAAAACCCCCCAACTGCAAAAATTTAGTTTAAAACCTTGGGCAATAGGTGATTTTTCTTTAAAGAAAAATTTGAAACTTTTGAAAAAATTTTCCAAAACAGAGTTGAAACTTTTTTCCTTTTTCCATGTCTGCTTAAACCCTTAGGGTTTAAAATAAATTTAAAAGGTTTTGGCAGAAAGGAAAAATACTTAATAAACCCTTTAAAAAAAAATATTAAGGAGCCTCATAATAAAGGTGGTTGGGGTTTAAAAAAAAGTTTGTAGAAGCTTATATGCTTTGTTATGGTGCTTGTTGGTA